TATGGACCAAAATCTCTGAGGAATGCTTCCAGCACCTTGTTGAATCTATGCCACAAAGAACTGAGGCAGTTCTGAAGGCAAAAGGGGGTCCAACCCGTTACTAGCGTGGTGAACCTAATAAAGTGGCCGGTGAGTGTATATACAGATGGGAAAAACAAAGAATGAGTCATATACATGAATTGTACAAAAATCCAAATATTTCTGGGCAGGGTGGGCTAAGCCCAGGCCCCAGTGTTTAGAAATCTTAACTGTGCCTCTGTTTAAAATCTTATGCTCCCCCTTTAGGCTAGGCTACATTAGATTTCTAAGTAATAAAGGGTGAATAAATCCCTGCTAACTCTGCAACAAGATAAGAAATGGTAATCTATAACCAGTCCTATCAGCTCTCTGGTTTCACATTCCTCAGGTGGTTCTGATGTGTGAGAGGAGTCTGGCACATTTCCACCCGTTCTCTCCCAGCACTTCTGGTCCGGCTCCGGATCAGCTTGTTTTAAGGTTTTATAGTTCAAAGATCTAAACACATACATCTAAATGAGTTTTAGAAAAGACAGTGACAGCGTGGAGCTGGAGGACTGCATCAGGAACCCGGGGTATCGGGATGCAGACGGCGGTAGAAAAGCGGCGGACACCCCCAGCCCTGAGCCCGGGCAGAGGCGCGACTCCACGGCGGTGGAGCAGGGCTCGGAGCCGGCCTCTAAGGAGTACCAGCAGGTCAAACCGTACGCCGGGATGCCCAAAGAGGTGCTGCTGCTGTACTCCTCCCGGGCTCGGTACCGAGTGCCCAGAGAGATCCTGTTCTGGCTGTCGGTGTGCTGCACCCTGGCGCTGCTGGCGGTCACCGTCACCGTCATCGCGCTGTCGCCGCGGTGCCTGAGCTGGTGGCAGCTGTCCCCGGTCTACCAGGTCTACCCTCGGTCCTTCAAGGACTCCGACGGGGACGGAGTGGGAGACCTGAAAGGTAGGCTGTAATTAAATGATGATGGAAGAAATGCAATGTGTTTTGAGTCTTCAAACATTTATTTATGTCACTAATATTTAAAAGTGTTCTTTTTAAAGTGGTTTTACGCAAGATTTCTCCAGGCTTTTGAACGCATTTTTTAAACTTTGGTTGCATTTTTACTCATTTTTAATCTAGATACTGACTATTTTCAGCCTTTTTTTAAATTTGGTATATTTAAACCACTTTTATTTATCACACATTCTTGCATAACTCTAGGGATCAACTGTTGTGTCTTCATAACAGTGTTGGAAAAAACAACAACACAAGATATAAAGAATAAATAATATTTTAGCATAGATAATACCCAAAGGGCTATTAGCTGAAAACTTTACATGCAGTTGTGGTTCCCAATGTTGGGCTCTGGACCCTGCTGTGTCTCATGAAGCACTGACTTTGGGGTTTTGAAATGATCTAGAAAAAAAAAATATTTTGAAACAATTGCAACTGATAAAGATTTATTGGGGTTGTTTAAAAATGTGTGCACTACTTTGTCTCAATTGTTTTTGTGGGCCTAAAAACAAGTTTTTATTAAACTGAATATAATGAACTATATATATTTTAAATTAGTCATTGTTACACAGTTACCAAATACATTTATACCACCACTTGCTCTTATTAGTTTACAGCTATATTATGCCTTTTTTCTACTTTACAAGATTAAATCATTTACTTTAATCAACTTTTTGAAGGCTAAATAAATGAAGTATTGCCAATGCAAACTTATTATTAGGTCTTTAGAAAATTAAAATGATTTCAAAGTAAAAGCACCAATTTGTATTTTCTTAAAACGTATAAATCTTTATTTGTGTGATAACAGAAGTTAAAATGGTATTCAGTTGAATTAATGTTTTTTTTTGTTTTACTATCATTATTTCTAAAACACACAAGCTACAGATAACAGTATCAGTGATAAGCCTGTTTATGCCGGCGTCCAGCATCACTGTGGTGTCTCTGTTTCTGCAGGGATCACAGAGAAGCTGGGTCACTTTGAGCATCTGAACATCAAGTCTGTGTGGATCAGTCCGTTCTACCGCTCTCCCATGAAGGACTTTGGCTACGATGTGGAGGATTTCCGGGACGTCGATCCGCTTTTTGGAACCATGAAGGACTTTGACGTGCTTTTGGCTGAAATGCACGACAAAGGTGTGGTTTCAAAAGGAACGTGAGGGTATGAACATCACATTTTAGTTTAAAAGCATGTTGGGATAATTGTGTCTGTGTTCCCATCAGGTTTGAAGCTCATCATGGACTTCATTCCTAATCACACCAGCGATCGTCACCGCTGGTTCAACCTGAGTCGGACCAGAGATCCCCTTTATGAGGATTATTATGTCTGGACTGACTGCAACAAAACAAACCCAAAGCCTAATAACTGGGTTTGTACACACAGGATGACTTGGAATTCAACTTAGAGTTTTTCATCATTGAACAAGTCTTCTTTTAGCACTATGATCAGATGAGTTTGTCCTCTTTCCTGCAGGTGAGTATATTTGGAAACTCATCGTGGACTTATGATGACGTGAGAGGACAATGCTACCTGCACCAGTTCCTCAAGGAGCAACCGGATCTGAACCTAAGGAACCCGAAAGTTCGCCAAGAGATCATTGTATGATTATCTCTGCCACCGACTCATTTCTTTTTCTTTTTTTTTGCAGCACATACTGTGTGTTTGTCTTCTCCATTATGCAAATAGACTAATATTGCGCAGATCTGTAGAAGCAATTCATAAAAGACTAGTTAAAACCTTTTTTTAGAAGGGAAATTTAGATTGTCACTAGTTTTCCACCTGTTGCACATGCTGAGTACTTTTATAATTTCCCTGTAGGATATTATTCATTTCTGGCTGGAGAAGGGAGTGGATGGGTTTCGGATGGATGCAGTGAAGCATATCCTGGAAGCCACTCACCTGAGGGACGAGCCACAGGTGGATCCAAACCTACCACCAGTGAGTGCTCCCTCTTTGCGCCACAATTGCTCACATCACGGTAAAGTCTGCCTGTTTAAATGGATCAGTTATGAATGACAGAGCAGCTAAAAAAACTGCTAATTTCAATACGAGCCTTAAAAACACAGCTGTGCTCATTTTCAGTTAGGTGTTAGGTCTGAGTTAACGTGTTACATTTTAATTGCCGCAGTTACCTCTACTGCTCAAAGTTCATTTTAGTCAACAATCTGTGCCCTAACCTTGTTATACAAACAGGATTTGGTTTTATTGACTCATAAGTGACATGTCAGAGTCCAGATTTGGACAATGCGATGCATAAAAACAGCAGTGTGGGCAGAAAACACCTCCGCCGACTGAAGTGAAGCTGCTAGAACAAGCATGATGACTGAGTGGGATGTTTCACACTGTACGTCGTGTACCATTTATCTCCGGCTAAAATGTCAGGTTCATCCCGTGCCCTTCTTAAGAAAATACTGTAATTGCAATTCAAAGAGTTAATGACACACCGACTTCTCGGTAAGAAAAGAGGTTTTGTTCGGCAAAGGCTGAACCTCACCCCATCCCTGCGGAACAAAAGATTAGTGGAAAAGAGGCATATTTTAGAGGATTAGAGCGTTAAGAGAGTCACTGGGATTTACTGACCGCTAGAGAGTGATGCTATAATACTGAGACTGACTCAGACACTTTTAACACAAAGGCATCCTCTAATTTTGGACCTTATTTTTGTATTACATTAACTGTTAGTGGTGTATAAGTACTGCCATAAAAAGCTAAATATTTCTAGCTTTTTATCACATTATGTGTATCTATTATCATTACTGCTTTAGAGGTTTATTACTTTAAAACCAGTCCATTGTTGTGGATTGTTTTTCTTGTTTGGCACCACATGAGTTTAAAGATGAAATTTTTTCTTTCTATCAAGCAGGTTACAAATGTAAAGTCAAACTTTCTACTTATTAAGGTTTAAATTAGTAAGCCAGATTATCTATTAACAGTAATTAACTTTTTACGTCTTTTTCTTTTAGGTTTCAGTCCTGTTTCCTCACAATTGTTACAAAAATGTTAGCAAATTGGAGCAAACATTTAATCAGAAAACTCCTCACTGATACAGGAATGTCTGATTTTAAACCAAGTTTTCTTTACTGGCGTCTTTGTGTTATCTGGTTTCTTTTTGCATTCCACCTACACAACCTGTAAGTGGACTCTACGCTCTGGTTTGAGGAAGGAATAGATTTAGTGACAAGCTCTCCTAACTTCGAGTAGACAAGAAGAACTGTAGGAAATCTACTTTATATCAGTATTAAAGCTTTACGAGTCTTTTTGCCAAACACAAAACCTGTTTAAAAAGGCCAAGAAATTCAATAAAACCCAACTCATGTTTCATTCCAGGAGTTGGTAACTACAGAGTGGGATCTGTACCATGACTACACCACAAGTCAGGTGGGCTTACATGATCTGCTCAGAGAGTTTAGAGCAGAGATGGACACCTACAGCCGTGAGCCTGGCAAATACAGGTATTACAGCTTTTCAATGCATGCATAATTGACAGGTTCTTCATGTCTAGTTGTTTATCTTGTTATGAACAGAATGCTGCTAAATGTTCTCTCTGATGTATGAGACTCATTTACAGCATATAAATGCACTTGGAAACAATTTAACCTGTGTCTTAAGATGATTTCTGATCTTGTAATGATTAACTGCAAATCATAAAAGACAAGTGGAAAACATCTTGCTTACAAATGTAATGATTCCTTGTGCAATCTGAACTTCTAAATTAGATTAGATATAACTTTACAGAATCCTTGGGAAGACAGCAAATTTGACAGCAAGTGCAAGCAATGCAAAGTAAAAATAATAAACACACAAATATAGATTTAACATTTAAATAATTCTATACAGTAGCCAAAATCTATTATTAGGGCAGTAGTGGCATCTGCTACTCCTTCCCATTCTCAGTCAGTTAGTCGTACACTTGGGAAGAAGCAGTCTGTCACTGAACAGGTTCCTCTGATTGTTGATGGTTTGCAGAGGGTGACTGTTAGTGTCCATCATGTCCAGCAGTTCTGTTACAAATCTAAAGCCAAATCAAACTGTTGGAACATCTTGAAACATTGTTTTCCAAATTTCAGTCTTCTCTAACGTTCCCATAATTTTGATAACAATGCTATCACAAAAGAAATTCAAAACAAATTGACAACAAAGTTTCTAAATCATGGGAATTTTCAGTGACTGAAATTAGTCTGTATTAGTTTTTACAAGTAGAAAAAAAAGCTTTCCATAATAGCAATCTAGTCCAGTTATTATTTTTTGACCAAATGTGTCTAAAGTATAGTCAGTGCAGTCTATGTTTCCATTGTTTCACAGGTTCATGGTGACGGAGTCATATGATTACCACGAGGTGGAGAAGACCATGATGTATTATGGTACTCCACTGATAACAGAAAGTGATTTCCCCTTTAACTTTTACCTGCTGGACCTGCCTCACAACACCAGCGGCTGGTGGGCTCAACATCTGGTCAGCCTTTGGATGGCCAACATGCCCCGAGGAAAATGGCCCAACTGGGTGGTGAGTCACGTCAGAAACAATTCACTTCACAGTAAAAAAACAAAAAAAACAACTTTAATAAGTTTTATTCACCATCGTTAAAACACAAGCCAAAATCTGAGTTTTCTCCAAAGTTTCAGCAGTTTACCTCCTCTGTAACCAGGTTGGGAATCATGACAGGTCGAGAATTGCATCCAGCGCTGGTCGGATCTATGTGGAAGCCATCAACATGATGCTACTGACCCTCCCTGGCACACCCACAACCTATTATGGCGAAGAGATCGGCATGGAGAACATTAACATCACACAAAGTCAGATACAGGATCCTGCTGGCAAATACAATGCAGTGAGTATTGTGTAAACACCAAAGAAACGGAGAAACACAGCTATAAAATTTCAGGTTTATTTGATAGTATTACAAAGCAGTGTTTGTAATTATAATAATCATTAATTTAACAGTAAAAAAATAGGATTTATTGAAAAATAATTGTAGTTCATACCCAACTTTTCTTTTGCGTTATGTAATAAACTGAAGTGTAATTTTTTTCTTACAGAGTGCCAGTCGGGACCCTGAGAGGTCTCCAATGCAGTGGAGTGGTGACATGAACTCAGGCTTCAACGACAAAACCAACATCACCTGGTTACCCTTACATCCTGATTATGAAACTGTCAATGTGGAGGTAAACATATCGTTGAATTTAACATTTACAAGATCAAATACAAGCCCATTCTTTTAATTTACATTTTTGTTAACACATCTACTCCATTCCCTTTAGGTCCAGATGAAAGATGAAGGTTCTGTATTATCGCAGTATAAATTTCTGAACCACCTACGTCAATCAGAGCTCCCCTTCCAGAGAGGATGGTTCTGTTACGTCCTTGCTGATGCCAATGTTTTCTCTTACCTCAGAGAGCTTGATGGGCACAAACAAGCTTACCTCATGGTGATTAACTTTGGTAAACAATCTGCCACCACAGATTTATCTTCCATTCAGGAGTTACCCGACCAGCTGCAAGTGCTGATGAGCACAAAACCAGCCAACGACGGGAAAGTCTTTCAGAAGTCCAGTATCCTGACGCAACCAGGAGAGGGTTTGACCATTCGGTACTCCACCTACACCCGGTTTCATCAAAACCATGGTGCAGAGTGCTATGTCTCAGAGAAGGCCTGCTATTTGGACACCATTGACATACTTTATAAATGCTGATGTACATCAAAAATTGGATGCAATTATTAAGATTTAACAGTCAAAAATCAGTGAGATTGTTCAGTGGAGTTTTCTTTTGTTGCCATACAATAAAGTAACAGATCAGTTTGTTGGTTATACCATCTTCTTTCTGGTTAGTATAAAAGTCATCTGAGTCGTGGCTGTAAGTGTAGACGTTTTCCTCCTGGCAGACATTTATCTCTTCCTCCTGTGTCGAGGCTGCGGACAGTCCAGACCTAATTCTGTGTATAGAAATGCGAGCTTGAGGGCCTCCTTTATCAGATAGGAAAGAAAAAGAAAATATTCACGTTTTAGTCTGTATCCTTGAGTTCAAAAACTTTACATTATGTAAATGTGAACAAATTATTGGGTTAAATTTAAAAATTCAGAACTTGAAGTTTGATAAAAAGAGTCAGGCAGTTATCAGATCCTCTCAGAGTATCTTACCTCCTCCAGTATCTGCTCAAACCTTTCAGGTCCAAGATGATTCACTCCAGGTTGGAGATTAAGAACTATGTTTGGTATTTGTTTACAATCTAAAGAAAAAAAAACAAACAAATAAAATCTATTTTAGACATTTATCTTATGTGTCCTGTATCTCCATTACTTTGAACTGTCCATTCCAAATTATCCACCATCCTTCTCCCGGTGGTACGCACTGCTACACAAGTGCGGTCTTGACCTTGACAGCTCCCAGTCTGTAGAGACTAATCTCCTGCTCTGATACACTATCTCTTTACCATGTTAATGGGCCTGCCCACCCGCCTGGATGTGTCTATGCCATCAGCACTTTATCAAAGACTCAAGAGAACACAGAGCGGGAGAGAGAGACAGATTGGAAAGACATTTACACACATACATAGACACTAAAGCTCGGTGTGTGCATGAACAACAGGAGCGTGAGATGGTGAAGGAAAGAGATAATAAGTGCATTTGAAACAGGAAGAGAGGAGGCGGTGTGTGCCTGTGAGAGAGAGAAGGGGTGTAAATAAGGAGTACCACCAACGTGGTGAAGGAAGATTATAAGTGAGAGGGAGAAAGAGCCTGTCTGGGGAAAATGAGAGCAATTAGCTGACACATGCACAGGCTTTACCACAAGGTGACCAATGCTACACTTTGGACAGACATCCCCAGACACCCATACACCTATTACTGCTGCCTCTGCTGACCTTCACATTGACACTGCTATTGGGAGATGATCCTGTGCTATAAAACCTCAACTGAAGCAGAAATAACAGCTAAAAGAAAACAGAAAAATCCATGTGGAATTTGAAACTCTGTCTGCCAATCCACCCAGAAAAGCACATTTATCCAAACAAACGTAAGTTGTTGTTTTTTAATACATAAAAATGTGTGCAAACACTTTGATGTAGAATTTTCTACAAAAATCCAGTGATATGCCAGTGACCAAAGCATTTCTCAGGGCTGATGCACAAACAAGCACCTTCACTAAGACGGCAGGTCTAATTCCATTTCAGTAACCCACACTCTACAGATGATAAAACACATCTTCTCCACAATGTCACAAAAATGGTAAGGACATGCTGGACCTAATTTTTCATTTTGAGTGAGCAACAAATTAAAACTTTGTAAAAGGTTCAATAATTTACAATAATTTATTGCAGTGAGGTAAAAACTTCCAAGAAATATATGATTAAATATTTTCAGGTATGCAACTCCTTACATGGATTTGAATACTGACTTAATTTTTTTCTTTGACTACACACTCAGCAATGTGAATGTGTGTTGAATTTAAAACAGGGTTTATTACAGAACAACTTTAAATTTATTAGTAGTAGAAAGTTAAAGATTTAGAGCATTATTAGTCACTTAAAAAGGAAAAGAAATATGGATCTGTTTTCTATAATTACTATGTGACTGCTACTGCATCTACAATAAAGTTGCTTTGTTACGTTGGAATTTTAATTTTAAACTGGATTATCTAAACATCACTGAGCCATCAGGATAAGGGATTTGAAACCTTGTAGGTGTCCTTTGGTTTCTGTCTACAGAAAATTTGCAGTAGATCCACTGGACTTTGCAGCTTGTAGGCTTCTCAAACTGTTTTGTGCCACAGTGGGCAAACTGTTTTATTGCGGGAAGCCACAGTGGTTTCCATTTCATCTATAATGCTCTTAATTATAGGTGCTATCTACCAAAGAAACATCCAAACTACAGCATAATCATCTGGTTAAAATGTAACAAGATAATCAATACAATTCAATCTTTTGTCAGTGTGTCTCATGGATGGGCAACATAAATTGTACAAGGGAGCACAATTTTTTGTTGACACTACCAGAGGGCCACATATCGCCAACATAGAGTGCAGTATTGACATATATTGCTTTTAAATCCTTCTTTTTCACATAAATTCAAACGAAGCACTTCACACTTCTAACGGATGTATTTAACGGCTAAAAAGTTGGATTTTGAATGATATGTCCCCTTTAACAGATTTCATGCTCAAATGTACATAGAACAGTTGTACTCTTGTTATCTTAAATGTGAATGCAAAATGTCTGAAGCAAAAAAAAAAAAAGAAACACTTGCTTTTGTGAGCTGAAGTGCAATGGCATATGCCTTGAGTCCAGACATGGTTGTGGTTTGGGTAAAAAGTTGCTGGTGTTTATGTACTTGCAACTTCAGTAAAGTTCTCATATTTAGCTTTGTGCAACATGTTGCTATTGCAACTTATATTGAAATTCTTCATGGCAGACAGCATCTCTAAGCAGACTAAACACATAGGTTTGCCACAACTGGCATGCGCTTCGCCAGTTGCCCATCCCTGGTGTATGTAGTATTCTGGTTTATGGACAAAAATGATAAAAGTGTTGTGTGTGTGTGTGAGAGAGAGTAGAAATACCTGTCTTGGGTTTCGTGCTGAAGTGTGTATGAATGGCTTTGTTAAGATGTTCAACATATTTAAGAACACCTTCTAAAGGAACTCTGGGATCACCACTGTAGGCTGTCAGCAACATTGATGGGTAGTGCTGTTTCAGACATAAGCACAAAATTCAAACCATAAATTATCCAGATTCTATTATAAGGGCTTAAAATGGTTTAAAACTATCTTTACTTTGCCAAATATTGTCTAAGAAAAAGCAGAATGTTCTCCACCTTTAAATACACATATAAGTAACAGCAGCAACATTTGTCACTTTTTCTATCCTGCTTTAAATACCTGAGGCTTTATGTTGTGAAGAGGACAGTAGGAAGATATGATTTGTCTGTGTTTCAAGTTTTCCACAGGGTTCCCCCACTCATCTCTGTCCTCCAAAACCAGAGGAAGACTGGGGCTCTCCATAGTTCCCAATACGTCCAGAAAAGGAGCCTGCACTCCAAAAAGAAAAGCTTTGAATGAGTGTATGCTTTATTTTACAATTAAACCTATAATGCAACTGACTTGGGTTCAATGTGTAGTAAAACTTTACATATCTACAAAAGCCACATTAATAATTTCCTTCTGAGGAACACAGTTTATTATGTTTTTTATAAACTACCACACAAAAACACAGAAACTTATTGTCATTTAATGTCTTACATGCAGTACTATAGCCCGCATCAAGTTTGGGTTTTTGTTGCAAAGTGCTCCCACTGGCACAGCTCCAGCACTGCAGGCTGTGAGGGCAGTGAGTGAAGGAGAAGAGATTCCCAAAGAGAAAAGGTGATTGAGACAGGCTTGGAGGTCCTCAACTCCCCTTGTCTTCCCTTCTACTTGAGCTTGTCTTTGCCAGGAAAGACCACGCTCTCCTCCACCTCTAGACAGTGTAAAAGCAAAGAGTTTATTCACATCAGCACACGAAGCTGGAACTTTTAACTGTATTTTTAGCCATGACTTTAGTAAACGTTCCTGCAGCATGATCATTAAACAATCATTGGATTCATTTAGACTGTGACAACATTCTCATTGAGTGAAAACAGATGCTCGATGGTTGTTTTCTTGATCTCTGATTTGAAAGCAGAGACTTACCGGTAATAAGTATTGCATAAGTTGAATAACAGTTAAATGCCATTATAAACAGATTAAATCTGTTTGATATTAAGTATTCTGGTTGTGAAAAAGGTGAAAAAAAGCAACTGGTTGTCTCACAACAATTAGCAAATAAGAACCACCCACACTTTTGCACAAACTTGTAAAACACTGTCAGATTTTTAGTGAACATGATAAAAGAGCACATTCTTCTTTTCCTGTTGAGTATCTGTGTGCTCTGTACAGCCTGCAGCTCCAAACAGTGAGGAAGGATGATGATTTTAAAAATTGAGCAGATTAAGTTGCCCCGTTTTTGCTAAACCTAGATTAATTTAACATTTAAACAAAAACAGAGAACAGTTAAAAACTGTTCAGTTTCTTGGAATGTAAGAAAATAACAATTTTGGACAAGTTTATAAACAATCTGAAATCAGTAATTAACCAGAGCAAATCAAGATGTTTTTGAAGCAGGGAGAAGAATGAATCATTACCTGATGTGACAGTAGGCCAGTGCCCAGCCCTGCTCCAACAGCATTCTTCTTACTGGGCAGAACTCCATGTTCAGATCTCTACCATAAGCTCCGTATACATGGACAAGCAAAGGCACCTGGCTCAGACGCTCCAGAGGTGCTGAATGGAACAGTGTCACTGGCACAAAGGTGCCATCCTGGAGAAAATGAGAGAATTTTGGAGATTAGAGTCTTTATTAGTAAATTACCCTAATGACAAACTTTAGAAGGCGGCACTTAAAAAATAGCATACTGCTGATAATGTTTCGTTGTCTGTGTGTTATTAAGTGTCCTTACTTGGCTGCAGGCTTCCAGACGTGTTGTGATAGACCTGGCTCGGTTCTCTGGAGAGGAAACATTACCAGTGCCTGATAAAAGAAGCTCTTTCTTTGGATACAGAGAGTATGGAACAGGTGGATGGACTGGAGATGATAAAAGAAATTCGAACACATCTTGCTGGTCTGCCAAGCCTGGTTTCTTGGTTTCAATGGCACAAGCCCAGGAGGGGAGCTTGGGTATAAATGTAGAATAAGAATTTGAGACTTTACAAAGAAGACTTAAATATAAAGCAATCAAAATCAAGGCAACAAACAAGCAAGTCCAAACTCAATGTTTCCTCTAAATATCTACTGAAGTTTTTACACTGACCTGTACAATCTTTGGGTCTTTGGGATGGGTCAGTGAAACCACAATCAGAGCGAGTTCATTGGCTGGTGTTTTTGCAACCAACACACAATGGTTTCCAATAACATCCATATCTTTAATTGCAGTACCAGGATCAGGTGTGTACAAAGCCACCCAAGACGCCATGGATGGTTCAGAGAGGGGAGACACCACTACCTAAGAATATAAAAAAAGAAAAAATAATTATTTTGCTTAGGAAAAAAAAGTTGGAAACAGAATAAACGATGACATTTGGTTATAAAATGTTTCAATGTATTTTATAATTTTAAAATTTCACAGCAAACTTATTGTATATCAGGAAAATTACAGAACCACAAAGTAAAAAAATCATCTTGAATTTTTGTCATTTCAAACGTAAACCATTGAGAAATAAAAAAAAGTAGCAGAACAAACAATTTCCAGGGTTAAAATGTCAGTAGAAAGATAACATATTGCAAAAAAACCTCCAAAACATTACACGCCACTGAGATGAACAGTTGTTGAGATATTCTCATTTAAACTTGGCTCAGCCGAAGTGAAACAGGAAGGGGAATGTCTGCATGTGAACAGAACATTGCTACAACGGCTGACAACACAGACTATAGAGAATCTGATGTTTATCTAGATTATTTTGAGCCACTATGAGAGAAATGAAGAGTCAGAGTACAAAAAAAAATACTGTTTCAATTAACAAAAACCAAGGCGTTTTCTTTCTTAAAGAGTTCTCCTTTGATGTCACTTCCTGTTTCACTTCGGCTGAACCAAGTTTAAAAGAGAACATGCCTGTTATGTGACAAAACAGGTAAAATCATGTATTATAGTCTCTTAAATATAAAGATGTTTTTTTTTTACCTACTGTATTTGAAGGACATGAATGTCACAGGTACTTTAATGCAACAAAGCTTACATGTCGAATCTCTACCTGATATTCTTGTCTTGGCCCTGTATTTGCCAGTATAATAAGATGCCCTCTCCAGTGCTCCACGTGGTACAGGAGGTCCAGCTGGCGAGGTTGAACCACAAAAGGATTTAAATGTGATGCTGCTCCATCGATGAGTAGCACCTCTGAACTGGTTCTGCTGTTGCAGTTGATGGTCAGGATTTGTCGGTCTCTTGACTGGGCAACCTCCACAAACACACTGGTAGGAGGGGTGGGGAAGACAAGGATTTATTTTCAATCTTATTTAATGGTAGAGACTGTTCATATGCCACAACACACACACACACTTACTCAGGCTGAGTTTCCTCATACACACACGTTATTTTACTTCCACTGGAGGTCAGGTCCAGACGAAACACCGTGGTGGAGCGTAGGCCTTCCAGTGTTGTGTAAACCAGGACATCGTCTGAGGCCCACTCTTCATTTAGGCAAACAAGCATATTATGAACCTCCTGTATTAGTTAGTGCTCTGTTACCCCTAGCACAACTAAAATACTTTTCTTGAATTATTTAAACTTTTTTTTAAAAAATTTACCAAGGCTGAGGACTCTCTCCAGCTTGAGTAGGATGTTGTGGGGATTCAGAAGTCGAACAACCACACACCTTGTTTATTACAACAACAAATATGATTTATTTTTAACTTAAGATTAATGACACAACACAGTACACGTGAAAGGTTAAATTATTTGAGTTTGATTTACCTTAACTCATCATTGTGACTACATTTGAATGTGGTGGCAAGATGCTTCTCTTGTGGAGAAAGACGTATTCTCTGGATTGTCCAATGAAAAATCTCCTCATTCTCAGGTTTTGTCTTCCCGTCCCCTTTAGATATTTGTTCTAGGTTTATCACATGCTCTGGCTCCTTTTCACCTGCAAATACAGTGAATGCGAAGGACTAGTTTTCCAAAGAAGATGGGCAATCAGTAAAGCCAAATAATTAGATTCTGTAAACCCAGCAGACATGGAAAGCAGTTAGTTGTATAATCTTGTTTTGCAGCATTCTTTAAAAAATGTTTGCTGATGAGTTTCTGGTTTATTGAACTGATTAAATTATTTGCGAAACTAAAACCACATTTAGTTCCTACCATTTCTTTGTTCTGTTCTGTAAATGCCATCATCTTGGATGAAGTAAACGTGATTACGTCCATAGACCTGAGAAAAGATAACAATGAATTTTAAAACAGAGTGAATTGTTCCAAATCTATAATAAAAATGACAAACGGATGACAGGCAAATCCCACACAATAATGCAAATGCTGTGATACCGACACATCGATTAATACTGGTTCTTAAAACAGAAAATAGCTCATGATGATAAACAGGGTTTGATGTTTTGCAGCGGGTAAACAAGGAGCTGATTGCAGTTTATTTCAATCAACAAAGTTATGACAACTGTTACATAAAAGCTTTACCTGACTACACTAGGTTTATACTCAAAACCAAAAGAAAAGAGCAGAAAACAGGTCTTACCACAGAATCATCAGGGATATGGGAGAACCTGCAATATGCTGCCTCCAGTCTCCTGATGAAATACTTCTGTAGGTTTTTGTACTCGTCAGTTGTAGTTCTGAAGCGATTAACTGATGAAACATAGGTTTCCTGAAATAGAAACTTTACTAACTAGTACTTTACACTTTGTACCACATATATATGCAGCACGTGAAAAAAAAGTTTTGATAAAAGCTGAGGTGGTAATGTGGTTCTTTACATTTTGAAGCGTTGCAATTAATGGGGGTCAATTTCAGCCCTATGATATGACAAAAAAAGTTTTAAATAATGAATGACTTTAACAAACAGCGATAATTTAACAGGCAGTAACCGAACACCAAGCCAAATAACATCTTTAATATTTACTGAACACTCTTACCGACGTGGTGCAACAACGCTGGACAAACAAGGGCAGCTTAAATCGTATGGACACTGCAGGCTTCCAGAATTTTGCCCGAGAAAACGTAAGGAGACGAGCAGGAGAACACAGAGTAAACGACAGAACCATTTTAGAAGTAAGCTTTACTTTAGTTAGCCATATTTACACAGCTGTCTGTGTTTTAGGTGGTGTTAGCAAACTGCTGCTATCAGGAACTGCGTGGGATATTTGAGTAGTTAAACGCGCTGTATACGGCGTATAAATGTTGTATTTAAAGCGTTAATATAGACTATTTCTTTATAAATCAGCTTACAACTGTGTCATTTCTAGGCACGTGCATTAAATTTCCTAAACAGAGGCAGCTTAATGACGTAGCAAGACATGCTAGGCTAAGCTAATCGAGTTTCGATAACCTAGTTATCAGTTTGAACTGAAAAATCGAGTACGATAGTTTCTGTGATCTACTTATATGTCTGTCATGGAAAGAGTGTACGGAAGTAAAATGTAACAGGTGATTTCAGTCGAGCCACGTCTGTGATCCTTTTATAATTTTCTTTTATATATATTTTTTTGCATTTTAAAAGAAGCCATGTTTTATTTTCTACATAGTACCCGTGGTATTAATAGTAAAACTGTGACATATCTATAGTGTAAGCTGCTTACAGATTTACCAGGCAAGTATTTTCGATAAAATGGAGAGGGGCTCTACCGGCTCAGCAGAAAAGACCGAGCCGGTTTCATCGTGTGGAGACAACAATAACGAAGACCCCTGCGCAGCTAAAACCCTCACCTCCCGGGGAGGAACCTGTGGTGCTACTCATGTTGCCCGAGCCAGATGGACTCTCCTGAGACAGGTATTGTTGTAGACAGCTACACACCACCGCCTGAAACTTACACCCAGCTTGTAAAACCTGTTTGGATTAAAAGTGAAGACAGATTCGTTTTGTGATTGCTTTTGAAACAATTCTATTATTGTATAAGTATTTATTGTTCTATTGAAAGCAATTAATTGAATTCATACGTTGCTCTTCATACTAAGGAAATGACAATAGAAGTAACAAGAAGAAAAAAGCAGCAATATAATAAAAACAATAAAATCGAGATTGCATTGTAGGAATGTACAAATGGCTTATAAATATGTAATTTATTTTTGGAGAGGTAATGATGCTGATGGAGGTAAAAGATGGAATTTAATTGGAACCTTTTAATGAAACTGTGGGACAAATATGACTGTATGAAAAGTAATTAATGCATTTTTCAAAACAAAACAATATAGAATTAGTTGAAAATCTTGATCATCTGTGTTGTATATCATAGTATTTGCTTGATATATAAAAAAACTTTGTTAAAACAAAAAGCATAACCCATTAATTCTGCCTGCTTAGACTTCACAGATTAAGAGTTAACAAATCTGATTTGTGCATCATACTATAATCCAGCTGCTACTTTTGTTTTTCTCTCGCAGGTGTTACGTCAGAAGCAGGCAGACGGTCCAGAGGTCAAAGAGGTGTCTGTTCGCAGGTTTGCCACTTTTGAACTTTTCATCAGAGAACCACTTGGTGAACACAGCAATACCTCAGATGACCAGTGGGTGGAGTACAAAAGTGTCTTCTTTCCCGAGTACAGTGCCTTCCTCAGGTATATACACCTCACAAAAGTTTCACACACATGGTGTTAATTTGTCAAACCCACAAATTTCTGAAATGTCTAAACTGAAAAAGTTCTCAGCTTGTTGCTTTTAAAGCAGTTGAAAAAAAAATGCATTTTAAACAATGAAGTTAGAAAAAAAGGTTGTTGAATGGGCATTAAAAATAATATTTTGTAGTGTATGGTTTAATGCTATTATAATGTAAAAGTATAGAAAACAATTTCTTTGCAACTTGATTATTAGTTTAAAGAGAAGTAAATCTGCATTTCATACATTTCCAAAGGAGCCATAATTTGACTAGTGCTCCTGCAGACTGCGTTATATTTATCTATATGTTTGAATTTTTCAGGGATAACCTGGGACCTCTTAGAGTTAATGAAGTACTCAACAGTTTTGACAACACAGGAAATGTCTGTAAGTACATACTTTTTGTGCTGTTATGAAAGTGTATGCAAGAATAAACCTCTTAGTGCTTTTGTTTTTAACTCATATTTCACTCTGGCTTTTATTAATGTTGTACCTTTGTGTGGTTCACAAGCTTGGCAGGAAAAGTTGTCACTGTTTATTCACACTGTAGCACAGTTCTGTGCATTTTGTATCCAATGGGGTAAAGATTATACTAGCGGTTGATTAATAACTTTATACAATAATAAAAATTCAGAAAACTGTAAATATGTATGTATGCAAACGTGTGTTTGATGTTCTCTTTGAAGTCGTCATGTGCTGCACTCTGTTTTTGTCCGTCTTCAGGATGCTCAGAATAGGTCAGAAAAGTGTCAGAGGCTGGTTTAAGCAGACAGATGGTTCCAGCAGGAGTCGATATCAGATATGAACAAGGGTATCAACTCCTTTGTTGAACTCTGTAATCAAATGTTCTCATTTATGACAGAGATTTGTGGCAACTTTAATTTACACCTGCTAGAATGGATACTCATGGATAGTAAACCCAGAGTCGGTGTGTTTTTTCTTTGCGTCAACTTTATACCCTTTATTATTGTCTTTTGTGAATGGGTCATTGGTGCCCTTACATCTGTGTCTTCCTTCTCTAACAAAGTAATATTCTTTTAGAAATATGTCCTCAGTCGCAATTGAGACATGGCGACAACCGCAGCCCCCCCCCGGTTCACATTCCTCTTTCTCAATTTACAACCCCTCTCCATAGCGTCCCTCATTTTTCTCTCCACCCCTCCATCCCTCTCAGCTGGAGTCATGCTTGGCCAGATGGGTAACAGAGTTCCTGACTTGGCCAATGGATTAGCACAGCCGGAGATGAGAGCATAGAGGAAGGGAGAGGAGAATAGGGGGAGAAGGTGGGTGGGCATGCCAGAGGTGGAACGGGGTGTGTGTGTGTGTGTGTGTGTGTGTGTGTGTGTGTGTGTGTGTG